TCTGATGTATTTTGCATAAGTTATGAATTTTTTAATATTAGCTCTACAAGCAAACATCACCTATGGGAAGAATCCAGATGCATTTTGTCTGTAATCGAGCGATACACGACTAGTTGCCATCTAGATTACTAGTTAGAAAAGGAACTTCTAACTAGATACGTCTGCATGTGTAACTAGCAATAGTTAAATCCATCGATTATCGGGCGATAAATCGATCGTTGCAACTAGAAGACATCTAGCAATCGCCTGATTACCAGATTTCCACTGTCGTTATTCAGTAGTTGCAATCGAGTAAAAATCTAGCAATCTAGATGAATTGGGCGACACCAGATTTTTTTTGACTCTTGGGATATCGTTTTGGAATTATTCGAAAAACAACAATAGTAATTCGTAAGTTATGCGACGGTTGGTAGCACTGGCAAGTTTTTGCTGACGAGCCAATATTTTTATTAATCCAGATAAAAAAGAAACGTGTATTTGAAATTTTATCTCATGGAGGAAATACATTTTATCTCTTATTACTTACACATAGATAACACCCATTAGGCAGTTTTTTGTTTTGTCCCCTTGTTCGACAGAAAGATGTTCAGAACGGAATATACAAGTGAGAACAGACTCAAAAACTGAGGACAAACGAGTGTTCCGGTGATAGGGATTGTTGTATGTATTCTTGTTAATTGTGAAGAAAAAATCAGTGAGTAGCAGAAAAACGGAATACATATCAATCGAAAATCACTGGAAAAAGAAATTATTAAACATACCTGCTACTAGAACAACAGATATGACTTTGAAATTCTCAGTACACTACTGACCTTAACAATATAAGAAATTATAAATCCATTTAAACTTCCTCGAAAAGAAAAGCAACAATTATTTCAATCAAATGATCAAAACTGTATGAAATCTCTTTTTATAGTTTTCAGTGTCCACTGGAACTAAAAATTCATGAATTTTAAAATGTAGCACAAGTCTCGTACTAATTTAACTGACTTTCAAACTCAAACAGAGTTTAGAGGCTTCTATATCGCTTGAGACTTGCTTTCAGCGTGTCTTACCTCCTCCATATTGAAACGAACAAAAACCCTTTTGGTATCTTTTATTCAATGTAGACCGATTTCGAATTTTCTTCTTCAGTATATTGAAAAGAAGTACAAAAGAACGTCTGCCTTATATACAAAAAAGTACGACAGAGTAAATAACAAAGAAAAACAAAATTCTAGTAAAAGAGTGTTCTGTTAACAGTCCGTTGTTCACACATCCGTTGTTCGAGTGAATAATCATGTTGTATCGGACGTGCAGAAATGCCATGTTGCATTGTTCATCAGTGTGGACGGACTGTCTAATCACCAGGTGCTGCTTATTCAAGAAATTTGTCAGAAAGATTTTTGCATGATTTTGGGTTTGCGAGTAAAATTACTCATATAAGTTTTCAACCCTTTGAGCGTGGACTATTTTTAACAGAAAAAACAATTAATTATACTTGAAAATTATTAAAGATCATAATTGTTGCACTTAGGCTTGATTTAAACGTGTACCTGGTTTATTATGAAATAACAAAATAAAACGTACACACAACTATCCAATAACATACTGAAAGAAAACAGGTAAAAGAAAAAAAATTAAAAATGTAATAAAGTATGAAATTTCTCAAGGCAACCATCCAAACAAAGACTTACATTACAATCTCTATACATATAGCGTGAATCCGTTCTCTATTTAGGTCTTCTAGTAGTATGTGCACACTACATAACAAATTTTCTGAGGATCTTTTTTGTTTATTGTTTGAAATACAAGTGAAGACAAGTGTCTAGCAGCCAGTCTATAGTTGATTCATGAAGCTAGTGTATGGTGTCTTTGTTAGCGGCACGTATGTTTCAATATTAAAAAACATGCTTTAGTATATTTAAGGACTTCTCCCTCTTATAAAATTTCAAAAATTCAGCTTTTTTACGCCGTTTTCATATCTGTTACTGATAGTATAATATACACTCGAACTCTTCAATAGCTTGAGAGTTCGAATCTTCATTATGACTATTCCTAGAGATGACTAACAGTTTCTGAAATTTTAGTCAAGATCGAACTAAACTGATCGATATACTGACAGGAAGCAAGGAGCCTTAAAAAAACAAAGTCTACGGATTGAAACTAGAATGTTCAATGTAAAAAAGCGTCTTGATTCTGTGTAGACCCCTTCGAACAATATTCCTCTCTGATTTTCTTTGGTTTGATGGACATTCCTTGAATACTTTAACTCTATTATATTTTTATATTTCTGTTCTTCAACAATTCATTTTTTTCCTATTAAAAATAATTTCACTTATCCTTGTGGTTTGTTTTGTTCTTTCTGTTGTATTTAAGCCTTAAGAAATTTGTTTTTTGTTTAGAAGAACATCACATCAAAACAACACAAAGGTAAAAAATAATTCCGTTATCATCATATATTAACCTTCTAAGTATTGTTCGAATTATCAAAACAAACAGGTACAATGACATCATATTTTATCTTAACGTGCACATCAGAAAACATTGTTTTGTACTAATTTTCTTCTAAACAATAGAAGAGTTTAGAGTATACAGTAATACTACAATCTATGAAAGAAATAGAAACTGTTTGTAGAAACAAGCGCAGCACTAGATTTACTGAAAAATCGTGCATCTTTTATTTCTAATACCACATTTTGAAATCACATTAATGAGTTATAAAATCTGATTTAAATATATTTATTTCTAATATATTTATTTCTAATACTAATAATGAACGTCCAAAGAAACTATGAATATATACGGTATGTTGGGCAGACTCAGTGTGTGCCAGATTTCTTGTATACAACAAAAAGAAAAGAAAAAAATATAAAAGGAAAAATGTAACGTAATGATAAGTAGATGATAGCAATTTTGAATATATGTGAAGAATACGAGTTAGCTAGTGGAGAGGAAAGGTAGAGAGATATATGATTTATCGTAATGTGACAATGCATCTAATATAGATGAAAATAAAACATCAAGGTTAATCAAACCGCTGAGTTGCAGTGATAAAGTGGAGTATTATATACTTTGATTCGGTCTTCTTTGCAGGATGCTCTTATCAAACTATGATACAACAAAACTTGATCAGTTGTTATCGTTCTAATTTTTAAAATATTCGCTAGAAGCTGTAATATCTCTTGACGCGACGCATTATACCGAGTACAATGCATAATGAAATGTTTAGTTGATTCCTCATCTCCACAAATACAATCTAATGAAGGCACAAGTTGTCTTATGAATAAGGATTCATTTAATTATGGAAAATCAAGTCTACATCTCGTATAATGAATCTCAAGTTTTCTGTTGTTAACAGTAGAAATTCGAAAGGATTTTAGGAAAGATTATTCTAAGTACGATTTCAAGCATTTGTACTTAGGATATTACGCACGTCATCATCCAACTGATTCCATAGTTTATTTGAGTCTCTGATGAAACTTCTTTCATGTCTCAAGCTCGCCTTGAGACTAGTCGGAATATCATCTCGAGTCACACTTCTTGTTACATACGACACTTTGGCATAAGCTCAAGTAGATATGTAGACGTTTTACCACGCATAATTTTATAGAAGTGGCACAGTCTTCTCACATAAACTAACTGTGTTACTGATAACCAACCTAAGTCTTGCAGAATTTTCTGCTGCGATGTACCACGCATGCAACCTGAACTGCTAGTGTCACCTGATACTGAATTAGGGATAGCATATTCAGAGTACACTCATAAGTACAACAATCATAAATAACAAGAGCATAATTAATGGCGCAAGTACATATGCATGACAGATGGAGTTTAGCGTCTGACGAGAAATCCTTCGGCTCAAGTACTTCATTGAGCCTCCTGTGCGTGGAAGTTTCTTGGAAATATCAAGAATATATGTTCTAAAGTACATAAATCTACACAACATAAAATCTATTTTCAATACTTTGAACAGATAACGTTTTGGTGATGTTCACTACTTTGAGACACAACGAAATAATAGATGACTACTTATTCTAAGGAGACTTATGACTAAAATCTACGTAAAATTCTTTATCGTCGATAATTAAAAGAAAATGTTTTGATCAAAAATTAACTTGGAAAGAAATACCTGCCAAGGCTGACCGTTATATTTAATTTACTCGGTATGATAGGTATGAATCACAGAGAGCAATAAATAATACCTTTGTCAAAGTAATAAAAATTTTTGCAATGGAAATATATAACGGTGAAAGGAAAAAAATACACAGAAAATTTGATCGTGTATTGTTTTAATTATTTAGAATATGTAACATATGTTTGTGGTTTACTTTGAAAAAACCCATAGGAAAACATGATTTAACAAAAGTTACCCTTTATGTATAGTCCTGATCAATGAAAATGAATGAGAGATTTCATATATTTATTAGATAATTTGATCCAGTCAAAGACACATTCGATGTTAAATAAAGTGCAAAAGAATTTTTTCGAAAAAACATTAATAATCAATCAAATTGATTCCGATATGACTATAAAAGTGTTAGAATTGACGGGTATATATAATGGACTACTGCATGTTAATGTGTCTGTATCTATCTATTTACTACTAAAAAGCTACTGATTCATAGGTAGTCTGATATGACGAGTCTAAATGTTTTACGCCATTAACGCTGTTGACGATTAACGCGTATTAAAACACCGATTTTTAATGATTCTCGAAAGCCTTCTTGGAAGACTAATGGGACAACTTCCAAAATGTCGTTAAATCGCTGGGACAAAGCGTTTCGTCTGTTTCGAATAGTTACTGAACATGGACTTGATAATATTTGAAAGTCGAGTGTTTGTAGAGTGTATTTGCTTAAAAATCCCGACGTTTACATACTTTCGAACGTAGAGAGAATACGAATGATCTCAAGAAAAAAATAATTTTGACATTTAACAGTGTTCTTCAAATGACTGCTGGACACTCTCTAAAAGTGAAATAAATATGTCTTTCATAGAGCGAGCATATGTTTAGAAGGTTAAAGCCGAAGTTGCATTTTAAATGAATCGCCTTGTGTTCTTGCATAATACTGATGATGATTATTCATAATTTGAAAACCGAATGATTCATATAGACGTATTGCTCTGTTATTCGCCACATCCACTTCTAATTCGATTTTATTTGAACGTGATTTACGTGCTTTATTTACCAAATAACTGAGCATTAATCGTCCGAAACCTTGTCGCTGTTTATCGGGTCGAATACTAATATTGGCGATGAATGACACCTTATTATTAACATAGAATACCGAATAGCCGACAATAAATCCATCTTCCAACAATACATAGCAGTTGCAGCCTGAATTGATAAAGTCATCGGCTGTCCACGGATAATTAGGCCATAAAAGTCTTTCGATTTCTGTTACAATATGTAAATCATCAAAGTTCATTCGACGGATGGCCACCATTATTGCTGCTGCGTGTAACTGATTTCACTCTTGTTTACTATGCGACAGGAAGAACAGAAATGAAGTGTAAATAGGTAATTTTGGGAAAATATGATGTTGATATCACATTAGAAAAGTATCGACATATGCAGTGTTCGTAGAAAATACAAAAAATATATCTTTACGCTTGAACGAACTTTCATGTGCACGCACATTTATAAGTCTAAGCAAAACTATTTGTCTAATATGCAGTAAAAATTGATCGTACTGTTGTGGTCAGTGGACTGACTAACACAACATGTGGCTTTCTTAGATAGCGTAGATGCTAGCGATTACTAGGTTTGAGGTATCGCTCGACGACTTTAACGAGCCTTTTATTTTTCTTCTTATTCTCTTAAAAAGAACTATTTTGACACGCTTTTGAAAGATGGCGCGTAGTGTCTCTTCGGACGCCATTCCGAGGTCAAGCAATTCTACCAGGATCCTGCAAGATCCTATAGGATCTTACTGATAACAGGGTTCCTACTATAGGGTCCTATGATATCCTACGGTAGGTATGCACCGGTATCGGTATACCGATACCGAAAATACCGACTTTTTTTGACTTGGAATTTTTTGGATTTTTTCATTTGAAATGAGGTATTTTAGCATCCTGGACAAGCAGAACGTATAAACAAC